TTAATTGAACATTTCAATCAACTATTGTGTTAATGAACTACCATATTAAAAATATAACGTTAACATAAATATGAATGTTCACCAAATATAAACCTATAATTGTTTGAGTTCTTCAGAGGGCTATTCATAATAGCCTATCAAATAAAACATAACCACAAAGTATTGCTTATCAACTAATATAGTATTTGGTTTCTAACAAAAAAACAGAATTTAATGTAAAAATTCAATTCCTTATACGAGCGCAGACTGACTGTGGCCTTACGTGTGATCAACCATTTGGTGGATGCGATCACAGGGATGGGTGCATGAGGTTCAACACCCGATCGGTGTCTAGTGTTTTGCTTATCGATGGGTGACTCACAACACCAATAATAAAGATAATAACAATAATACCATCATTTGTAGCCAATTTCCGGCTATCAATAGCCGCTACTCAACACTGAAGGCGCCGACAGTAATGAACTATGCGTTAACCACCGGTGCTCCTCATCATCACCACAACCATCACCACAACCATCACCACAACCATCACCACAACCACAGCCATCACTACTTACATATATATATGGATTCAACTCAATCTCAACAAAGAGTTCTACAATATTCTTAACACAAGTTATAGTGATTGAAGTGACGCCACTGTCTATGGCTAGTCTAGTGATTGTGATCGCAAAATGAAGAACAGTAGTGAACGCAATCACAAAAGTCATGATAAGAATGACCGCAAAACACTTGTTGTACTGTCCAAAGTGTGACAATGAATGCACGTCTTGTTCCGATCGGCATCACTACCGCAGTATAGGTCAAGAGTTGGAGGGGTGGGAGGGATGGCAGCGATCCTATAAATCACATCATTCATACTGAATAAACAAATTTTTAATTTTAATTCATTTATTCACTAAAATTATTTACTAATTAATAGCCGAAGGTTGAGTTCACTATCACATTTGCCACCCCCTCCCCATCCATTATAAATTTAATAACCGTAATTAACAAATATGGTAGAATAGTTGTGTTAATTTTATTTCATATTATAAGTTACCTCCAACAATTATTGTATAACACTCACTGTATACATACACATATTTCTACAAGATAAGAATTAATGAATAAAATTGGTGATTTAATAAAATATTTAATACAGTATTAAACTTTGGATTTTGAAATAATCTCATTATTAATAAGTCATAACAAAACTGAATATTTTAATATAAATCTAACAATTAATACAAAAATAGTTTAGTTAATGTGTACATCAGTTAAGTGAGTAATTGATAACAAAAAATACATTTATTAATAAATTTTTATTTAATGAATAATACTCTTTTGTTTTAATAAAACGAATACATTGGTACAGTATATCAACAAAGCATTCAATTAGTACTGTGTTATAATGGAATACATTATCACTAAATTGACATTCATTTATTATCACATTGTATTTTGTTAATCAATTTTATCGTAATGCAAATTCTTGACTAATCAACCAAAACGACGAAAGGTTTTCGCTATCAAAAACTCTCCGCGAAATAATAAAACATCCCATTATTACCGCATTATCTCATCGATGGTATACTCGTTGACGGCCGCGTCCAACATGTTCTGCGATTCAGTCACTCGCAGCACTTGGCGGTGATATTCTTCCAGAGACTGGCGGTGACCGCACGACACGTACGCGATGTCCAGCTTTTGGAGCTCTTCGTATACGCGCCGCTCCATTGCCAGCGACACAGCGCTCGTCGATTCGTCCAATACGGCCAACACTGGCCTGTGATAGAAGAGACGAACAAAACACAGCCGCTGCTGTTCTCCCGGCGACAGACACACCGACCAGTTCCAGTCAACTGGACGGGTCAACTCGTGCCCCACCCGATCCAATAGTGAATTCAAGTCCAGTAAATCTATATAGTGTTTAATCTGTTCCACTTGATGGTCATCCAATTGTCGGCCATTCAATCGCGGTATCAGTGGATAAGATATTTGCTTTCGTATACGAAAAATAGGATTGTATGTCAGAGAATGGAATAGTCAATTGCATTGTTAGCACAGACACAGTATAAATACATACCTCAAGCAGCGATCCAGTGGTCAACAGTGGCTTTTGGGACAAAAATAAGACCATTTTCGGCTCATCAAACGGTACATAGCGTTCGACGGAACCGCTAGTCTCCCGCCACACGCCCCGCAACACCCTTAGAATCGACGTCTTGGCGGTTCCGCTCTCGCCGGCGATCAATAGTCGAGTTTGGCTGTTGGCAGAGAAGGAGAGGCGACTGATGAGCACGCGGTCACTGTCGGGCACTTTGATCGTAACGTTCGTAAATTGACAGTACATTTTGGAATCACTCGAACGGCTTAGCGGTCGAAAGTGGTCGCCGCTGTCCTCCAGAATATTAACGTGCGATAACTGAGTCGAGTGGCGGAAATCGTCGTCACTGTCTGCCGGCTTTAAAGTGCGGTCACCGCCACCGCCAACGTTGAGCCACTCAAGGGCTTCGCCGATACGATGAGTGGTTCCGCCGACGGCCGTGAAAGTAGTGGCCGTATCGATGAGTCGCGTGAAACAGTTAATCAAATACATGATCATAAACGTGGACTGACTTATCAGTTGGGAGAGATCGGCGGCAAATAGATTGTCGTATTTGCCCCCAAACACGGGCACCGATAGTATGATAAACGACACGATAGAGCCCAAGTAGTCAAACATATAAACCGATGACTTGAGGCCCAACTCGCGTAGTATTAGCCGCTCCTGAATGGCCAACAGTCGGTGGAAGAGGTGCCGGGTTTTGTGTAATTCAAACGCCGCCCCTCTCTGAATGGCGATACTTTCGGCCTCATTGCGGACGCGCGTGTGTTGGAACCGATAGTCCCCTTCAGCTCGTTGTTGCAAATACACAAAGTGTAGGACCAATGATATGAGCCCTTTGTTGATAGCTGTGGAGCACAGGAAGAATATAAGGCACCCGAGGGGTCCGATGTAACCGATCACTACCCATGTCTTGTATGTGTAGAAAGCGATGAGAAACGGCCATACGATCAGATCGGCGATAATGAGCGACAATTGCTTACAGAATAGGTCCACGTCTTGGGTGAGCCGTTGGTCGAGATTGTCTTTGCGTCGTTCGGACGACACATTGAGGTCATAGTAACGCCGATCGCGGAAATAGTGGACGAGTAGCCGAGCGGTTAGCGAACGACGCCATTCGATGTAAACCGTGGACGAGATGTACTCTTTGGTGCTCTTCAACATTGCTATGATAACAATGAGAACCACGGCTTTGATGGTCTGCGTCCAGAACTCGTGGCTGTCTTTGTTGCCCAACGCCTTATAATAGCTGCCGGTAATCATCCCGATGTTATAGGCGGCCGTCTCGTACAGTACGGTCACAAACAACAGGTATGAGATGACCGACAGTGTCCTCCCGTTTCGCATCACCGCCAGAATGTGGACAAACCTCTTCGCGAATCGCACATCAAAGCTAAACGTCTGCGACATATCCGCGTCCATCGCTATCGTCTCAATAAATGGTCAGTGGATCCGATAATCTGATCCCAACGCCCGGTTCACCACTATATCAATCAATCAATTAAACACCTGATTATGAGTTACACAATGAATACATTTATTATACCATTAATTTGTGAGCACTTAATAGCGAGTGATAAGTCATTTGATAAGACATTACTTTATATACAGTGTATGTTATATACACGAGTGGTTAGCATTAAGAGTGGTGGGGTCTTGACCTTTGAACTTTGCCCTAAATATACAAGCAATTAATTAATTATAAAAAGTCATTTGATAAGACATTACTTTATATACAGTGTATGTTATATACACGAGTGGTTAGCATTAAGAGTGGTGGGGTCTTGACCTTTGAACTTTGCCCTAAATATACAAGCAATTAATTAATTATAAACTTATAAAACAATACATTAAACTATTAATATTTTAATCTTAAGACAACAAAACACTGATATCTGTTATCAGATGAACCAAATGAATGGCAAATGAATGATATTTTAATCGCTTGAAATGATAAAACTATTGAATATAATATGTATGTAATAATGACATTACCTTTAATACACAATCAAATGTGAGCAGGATCAGTTGGATGAGTTGGATGAGTTGGATGAGTTGAATCTCAAATTGTAATGAATGGTCAATTTGGTGGGCATTTCCACGTTTGACCACTGGATCAGTATATGTAGAGCCAATGGTGGGGTCGAGAGGGGCACAGATGTCAACACTGTATGCCTGATATTGAGTCAATACATTCAGCGCTTAATTCAATTCAATTAAAAAGTTTTGTTTCAATCGTTTGATAAAGTTTTGCATTTCATTTCATCAGTGATTGTATGGAAAACACATTGAAATGCACGCCATCTGTGGGTCGACTCAAACACTCGACACAATGACTCGCAGTTGCAGTGATTCAGCACTTAATACACACTTCTATCACAACTGTTTCATGTGATTGTCTTCGCACGCATACCATCGCAACAAGAGCTGCCATCACAACGATTATGACAGTAATGGCCACAACAGCCACAACCGCCACAACAGATGCCGTGCGGGAGAAGGCCCTACAGGACTACCGCAAGAAACTGGTCGAACACCGCGAGATCGACCACCGACTCAAAGAGGGTATGTCTTCATCACTCGCGGCCACCATTTGATTGTCTACTAATATCTCTTGACTCTCGATGACAGTCAGGGAATCGCTGAAAGAAGTGAACAAACAGTACGAGAAGAGTGAGAACGACTTGAAAGCACTGCAATCCGTGGGACAGATTGTCGGCGAAGTCCTCAAACAGCTGACCGACGATAACTTCATAGTGAAGGCGACGAACGGACCGCGATATGTGGTCGGGTGTCGGCGACAACTCGACAAAAGCAAACTCAAAGCCGGCACTCGTGTGGCACTAGACATGACTACTCTAACTATAATGCGTTATCTTCCGCGAGAAGTGGATCCGTTGGTGTACAACATGTCGCACGAAGACCCGGGAGACGTGAACTACTCATCCATCGGTGGTCTCGGCGAACAGATCCGCGAGCTTCGGGAAGTGATTGAATTACCGCTGCTTAACCCGGAGCTGTTCGCTCGGGTGGGCATCACTCCACCGAAGGGTTGTAAGAGAGAGAGAGAGAGAGAGAGAGAGAGCAAATAAGCTACCGAACGGAATAAATTGGTGTAACGGGACGTGTAGTATGTGTTGTACGTTATGTGCGCTCTCTCTCCCTCTCCAGTTCCGCTCCGATAGTCTCTGCCTTTAAATCCAATTATAAGTTTGCATTTTTGGGTCTCTCTCTCTCTCTCTCTCTCTCTCTCTCGTTCACAGTTTTGTATGGCGACGATTGAGAGCCACACAACTCACTCACAACTCGCTAACACTGCTATTCCTGTGTGTCGTTCCCTTTGGGCAAAACCCGGAGTCGTTTTGTGGCGAAAAAGACTTTATGTCAGATAATAAAGACTTTTGTTTCGTTTACTTCAATAGTTTTTGCCAGACTTTTGTGTCGCTGTTTGCGAGACATGTATTGCAACACAATATGCAATAAATAGTATTCATTTTGATAATTATCTTTTCATTCTTGGTTTCTCTTCCAGAAGAATATTCATCCAAATAGTTATTAATAGGTTTCATAAAATCATAAAACAATATCGATTGCAAATATCTCGCAATTGTCACACTATTATCTCAAAGAGCTGTTCACTTGTCAGAGACCAAACTTCTTGAGTTTAGTTTTGCTCTCAACCGGTAAAACGAGTGACAAATGTCTTAATCTTTTGCAACACATAAAGTCACTGAAGAATCAAATACCAGAATTACGAGCTAATTATTTGTACGTTTAGTACTAATATACAGTAGTGTGTGTCTGTGTGTGTGTGTGTGAGAGAGAGAGAGAGAGAGATAATAGTGTGACAATTGCGAGATATTTGCAATCGATATTGTTTTATGATTTTATGAAACCTATTAATAACTATTTGGATGAATGTTCTTCTGGAAGAGAAACCAAGAAATGTGCTATGAGTGCATTCAATAAGCTATGAATGATAGCTAGAAATTCACAATAAATATGAAAAAGAGCCAAATTTTGAGAGAGAGAGAGAGAGAGAGAGAGAGAGAGAATTACAAGACAAGAGAAAGAGGAGAGTATATATGCCTTGATGTGAATTGTTGGCAGTGCTTTTAATACAATTTGAATCCCTGACCACTGTTTCCACACATCATATAGAGTACAAATGTAGTGACAAAACAATTACCGCTAACACATGGATGGTGTGATGCGGAGTGCAACGGGCGCTCGTCGTTTGGCACAGCCTTTCAACTCCTAGTATAGTGTATATACACTTTATTTGTATATTAATTGCATTAAATTATACATCAATTTATTGACCATATTATAAAACCGTATTATTGATAAATGTGTTAGTAATTTGATGAATATCAATGATAAATATTGAATGAATATTTGATGAATATTGTATAATACATGTACTGTATAAGTACAGTATAAGTAAACCATAACCGTAAATAATACTTTAATATTTGATTAATTGAACATTTCAATCAACTATTGTGTTAATGAACTACCATATTAAAAATATAACGTTAACATAAATATGAATGTTCACCAAATATAAACCTATAATTGTTTGAGTTCTTCAGAGGGCTATTCACAATAGCCTATCAAATAAAACATAACCACAAAGTATTGCTTATCAACTAATATAGTATTTGGTTTTTAACAAATAAATCAGAATTTAATGTAAAAATTCAATTTCTTATACGAGCGCAGACTGACTGTGGCCTTACGTGTGATCAACCATTTGGTGGATGCGATCACAGGGATGGGTGCATGAGGTTCAACACCCGATCGGTGTCTAGTGTTTTGCCTATCGATGGGTGACTCACAACACCAATAATAAAGATAATAACAATAATACCATCATTTGTAGCCAATTTCCGGCTATCAATAGCCGCTACTCAACACTGAAGGCGCCGACAGTAATGAACTATGCGCTAACCACCGGTGCTCCTCATCATCACTACAACCATCACCACAACCATCACCACAACCATCACCATAACCATCACCACAACCATCACCACAACCACAGCCATCACTACTTACATATATATATGGATTCAACTCAATCTCAACAAAGAGTTCTACAATATTCTTAACACTAGTTATAGTGATTGAAGTGACGCCACTGCCTATGACTAGTCTAGTAATTGTGATCGCAAAATGAAGAACAGTAGTCAACGCAATCACAAAAGTGACAATAAGTATGACCGCAAAACACTTGTTGTACTGTCCAAAGTGTGACAATGAATGCACGTCTTGTTCCGATCGGCATCACTACCGCAGTATAGGTCAAGAGTTGGAGGGGTGGGAGGGATGGCAGCGATCCTATA